TGCTGCTGTGATCTGTTTCTGAATTTACCACTGGCATAATCCCTTCAAGCATGAGTCTTTTTCTTCTAGGCTGGGCCATCTCCTTTGTGACCAAGACCTTCTTTTCCAAATCCAATGGAAACAGAGGTGGTACTCCCAATGTGGCCGTAGTGATGGTGGATAGTTGGCCCACAGACAAAGTGGAGGAGGCTTCAACGCTTGCAAGAGAATTAGGAATCAACATTTTCTTCATCACTGTAGAAGCTGCTGTGGAAAATGAGAAGCAGTATGTGATGGAGCCTAACTTTGCCAACAAGGTTTGTAATTACCTGAGACTCACCCACAGTCAAGCTCCCCTGTACCCTGAAAAGCTGAAATTCCAGGAAGATTATTTTCTTGGGCTTTCAAAAGTGTATGAATCTCACATCTAGGTAGTGGTGTCTCCAATGAAGGAACCTCAAATTACTCTCAAAGAAAAGTCTCATACCCACCCAAGGCCAGCAGCTTGGGAACAGAAGGCAGGAGCAGTGTTCCAAAGGTCTCATGTGGAGGCTCTTCCTTGCTCCTCCCACAGCATCAGGGACCTCGACCAGGCAGTAAAGGAATGCTTCATATAAACACATGAGCATGCACATGTATGTACACACACACACACACACACACACACACACACACACTTTCACACAAACATGCTACAAATTAAACAATCTGATAAACAAGAGAAGGGAGGTGTTGCGACATTTCAGGCAGGTCATGTTTCCAATGCTACTTCTTGGTTCTGCTGAGATGTCTGGCTGGACCTGAGGCAGGACAGATGGGATAGTTGGCCTCCTGTTCCAGTCTACTAAACCACCTTTGGTGTTTTCCAGTGGCTGTCCACGTAAACCTTCCTTCAAAGGCAAAGCTTCAACTGAAGGACAGAGAAAGAGAGAAGAAAGGATGGAGGGAGGGAGGAACAGAGCCAGCAAGCTTGGACAGCTTGTCTTTTATTTTTTATTTTTTATTTTTTTCATACTGGGGTTTGATTCTAGGGGTGCTCTACCAGTGAGCTACATCCTCAGGTCTATTTATTTATTTATTTATATTTGAAACTGAATCTTGCTAAGTTGCAGAAGCTGGCCTTGAACTTGGGATCCCTGCCTCTGTCTCCTGAGTTGCTGGGATCTCAGGCCTGTGCCATCACGCTTGGCAAAATCTTGTCCATGATGCTCCTCCAACTTTATTATTATGTTTTTGGAGCTAATAAGGCCGGACCTCCTGCAGCATAGCAGGCTGCTGACTTCTTCTTGCTCCATGAAATCCTCTTCATTGGCTTCCTGGCCCTGTGCAGCTGTTATTTCACTTACTCTTTACTTTTCTTCCACTATGCACCCTGAACATGGAACTTTTCAGGACTTAGATCCTGTTCATCCATCTTCCCTCACAATCTTCTCTTCCTCCAGTCTTCCCAAGGCCACAGCTTCAGTCCTCATCTCTTGAGCTGTACAGTCTTCTCTGTCCAGATGAAAGACTCTCTTCCAGTACCTCCATACTATGGATTGAGCCCTAGGGTGCTCTACCACTGAGCTACATCTCAGCCCTTTTTATTTTTAGACAGTCTCTTGCTGTTGCTCCTGCCTCAGACTCCAAAGTCATTGTGATCGTAGGCATGTGCCATCACACCTGGTGACCTTTCCCTTTTTGGAAGCCCTGTCAGAACCTGAAGTCCTACATGCAGCAAGCCAAGTTCATCATCATCTTTCCCACCCAAAATGTCTCCTTCTCAGGACTTTGCATGAACAGCCCCATCCATCCCAGAATTCCTCATCAGCTCCCAAACTGCATCCCTTTTCTCTCTGTTCTTTCTCTTGCCCAGTGATATCTCCCCACTTCAAGTCAGTATTTAACATCTTACCTGCCTTTCTCCTGGGTCTCCTGTGTAGAGATTTAACAGTGAAGCCCAACTCACGCTTATAAAGAGTTCTTCCAACTTTGGGGCTCTTGCTCCAAACCCTTCACTGTTTCTCTTTGTTCTTGAGGCCTTCTAAAGCATGGTCCCAACCCTGCTTCTGGCCCTGCTGCTGTGACACCACAAAGACCCTGTGCTCAGGCCAATGGCCACCTGTCCCTGGCTAGCACCACCACTCTCTGCTGCTGGAATCTCACACAGGCTGTCCGATAGGGATACTGCCTCTCCATCCAGAAGATCAGCTTCCTACAAGCACTCAACCTCTTGTGCTGCCTCCTCCATAGAAAGTTTTGTAACCTGCTTTAGGTTTTTACAAATCAAAGAAAACATATATTTTTCCTAGAATGTTTAAGCCATTACTAGTTTCAAAATAATTTTTTAATTATACAGATTCATCCGTAGTCATGAGGTCAGACATGCTCTGTGACCTGCAAAGGAAGGGACAGGAAGAAATGTTCCACCTTAGGAACACTAGCCCTGTCACTTCCAGGAACACACCAGCAAGTTTGCTCAATGTTTATTTGTAGCTGACTTGAATTTTTCTGGAACAAGCTTAGGCACAAGTAAATAAATACTTGTTTGCCTATTGGCAAGGTTGTCTGGAAGGCAGAGCTTGGGTTTTGAAGGCAGACAGCTAGGCAATCTAGTTTGGGGAACTCAAGTATGTCCCCTTGTAGTGGCCCTCAGTTTGTTCTCTAACAATGGGGGGGGGTCATTGTTCCCCTTGTAGGGTGAGGTGAGGATTGAATGAGAGAATCTCTCCAAGAGCACCTAGTATGACCCTGACCCATGTGACTACTCAGCAACTCTGGGGCCCCTTCCCAGTGGGTGCAGCCTGCTCTGGAAACATTCCTCAGTCACTTCTTAGGTGTGCTCTGTTTTCCTCAGGATAACAAAAGCTTTCTTTAATTTTCTCATGCATTGGTGCCCACCAATGCCAGTCATGGCTGGCTGCCAGTACAAATGAATTGAGCTGAAGAGGCATAAATCTGAAGCAGAAATCAGTGACTTAATCTCCCTGTGAGTTTGCCTAGTACAAGGGCTTACCACTGAGGCATTGTTATCTGTGGAGACAGGAGTGATTTCAGAGATTACTGGAGAGGTCTTTGTCTCAGCAAGTGCCTACATAGGGGAACAGAAAGGGAAAGAGCCATCAACAAGGACTAGCACAGTAAACAGGAGTCTGTTTGCTTCTTCACCCACCTGAAGGCCCAAGGTAAGGGTGCCAGGTTGGGGGACTTGACTGCTGACCTGGTGAGTGTCCCTCCCCTCTGTCCTCCAGGCTGTGTGCAGAACCAATGGTTCAACGTGCAGAGTTCATTGGGCTTCTCCAAGACCATGCAGCCCCTGGTGAAGCGGGTCTGTGACACCGACCGCCTGGCCTGCAGCAAGACCTGCTTAAATTCAGCCGACATTGGCTTTGTCATTGACGGCTCCAGCAGTGTGGGGACAGGCAACTTCCACACAGTCCTGCAGTTTGTGGCCAACATCAGCAAGGAGTTTGAGATTTCAGACACAGACACACGTATCAGGCAGTGCAGTAACCTACGAGCAGCGGCTGGAGTTTGGGTTTGACAAGTATAGCACCAAGCCTGACATCCTCAACACCATCAAGAGGGTGGGGTACTGGAGTGGTGGCACCAGCACTGGCGCCTCCATCCACTATGCCCTTGAGAAGCTCTTCAAGAAGTCCAATCCCAACAAGAGAAAGCTGATGATCCTCATCACTGAAGGCAGCAGGTCCTACGATGAAGTGCGGATACCAGCCATGGCGGCCCATCAGAAGGGTAGCTGGAAATCTGGCTCAGCCAGCTGCTGAGGCTCCTCTCTAGGGCAGGGAGAGGCTATCCTTGGAGGGCAAGGAAGGCTCTGCTTTTCTGTGCGTTGGTTTTGTCTGTGACTCTCAAAAATGTTCAAAGCCATTAGAGGAGCAAATATTGCAGGTGTCTGAGTAGCAAAGAGGGAAGGATGAAGGGCGGCTAGAGACTCCCCTAGTGTCTTTGAAAACAGGGAGCCTTTCATTGACCTCCTACATCCGGAGGCTTTTCCAACCAGGGCTTGAGACACTAAAAGGGAATTTTATTTTTCACTTTCTATGAAAGAAAAACAAATCCCTAGCTGTGTTGAAGACACCAATTTGTCCTTAATACCTTTTAAAGACTGATAGTGCTCTTTAAGGAGGTCATACTGTGTTTGTAAATTAGATATTGAGGGTTTGGGGGGAAAACCCTAAGAAATTTTGATTCAGAATATTTAAAAGTGATATTTCCATATAAAAATTGCTAAGTTGTCGAGAGAAGGCTCAAAAACACACAAAAAAATGAGGGCTGAGGATGTAGCTCAAGTGATAGTGTACTCGCATGGGGCACTGGGTTCAATCCTCACCACTACATAAAAAAAATGAAATAAAGATATTGTGTCCACCTAAAATTAAGAAATAATTATTTAAAAGAACACAAAAAATGAACAAAGTACTTAAGTGTTTAGAAAATAAATCACATTTATGAATTAA